AACGATAAACACGAAGATATTGCTATCTCATCGTCGGAAATACGCGCCATGTATTAATATGCGACACATATCAAATTGCGGTCGGAAATATTATTCATTTTCCGGAGCAAGTTTTGTAGGAAAACAATATAAAAATAAACAGAGCATCAGTCAAACCGTATTCATCGAAATCGATGAATTCCACGCTGCGTGACTGCGCTGGAGCACGCCTCGAAAGACATGTTTGTGTGATTTCCTTTACTTTACAAAGGGTAATCTGAAAATTCGATAAGTGAATTTCTAGAATAGTAATTTATTATTACACTTACAATTCACTACTGAATGTGTTCTGGTTGCTCGCAAAATCTACGGGGGTTCTAAATTCGACGTCGGCCAGGCATGGCTCAAGCTCAGGAGTGATCATTAAGTATCGCATGTGAGCATGGTTTTTGCCAGTAAGAATCGTCGCAGTCAGTCGCATTGGGAGTCATCAGGGCCATCAAAAATTCTCCCAGACAAGTAAGCTACCAATTAATGGACGCCGGAGGGAAGAAAGGCTCGAAAAGTTAGATACGAATTAACGAGAACATACAGAATGAACAAGAGAACAGCTTATTAACAGAGATGATGATCCTGTCCCTTACCTCATCTCGTCTTATCGCTACGACTACTGTCTAATGGTTCCAGTATATAGTACAGAATATACAAGTCCCATCGGATTGGTGCGGAAACTTACGTCCCGGCGATGGTCCGCTCCCGTCGTCTCCGGCGTCGTTTTAGCAGAAGCTCAATGGGTGATTGGGTCAAGGCATGGGTGAGGTATGAGTGATAACGGCCCAGGGTTGACATTTCAAGGGACATTACGAACAACACAGTTTGATGTCGCGAGATGAGCCCAAAGAGGTGCCGTCCACGCCTGAGAAATGAATTTGTCTCTGTCCCGTAAATGTTGTATTGGTCTGATTCCGAATGAATCAACGAAGCTTTAAATTTCTTTTCGGTATAAGTAAAAATGAAATTTAAAATAAGGCAGCTTTCATTGGAACAATGTGTATGGTGATGTAACAGTACGCTCACCTTGCACCCTTTGTTCTCGCCAAACATCTTGAATTCTTCCTCTGGTACAGGCACGAATTCAATGAGTATTTGTCCGGTAATTACCTTTGCCTCTAGATTTGTGGGTGAGCTCGTTAGCACTGAAAAGTACTAGTTTCCTTACTTTGGGATAGAAATGTCGTGCGAGTTTTTCAAACTTCCGTCATCCAAGTGGATTTGAATGAATCTAGCCTAACAAAATAATTGCATACCTTTATCAATCACGAAGGCTAAGACCTATAGACAGATCATGCTCTATGATTACATCAAAAAACTTGGCCAACCAAAAAAATCAAATGCCAAAGTGTCACACGAGTATCGGATGACGGGGCGCCATTGTGACACGAGTTGATGGAGATTCAGCTGACACCGCGAGTTAGTACCAGTCATTTGCAATTCGAGCGCAAGGAAGTCTCAAGATTTTCTACTCGAGTACAGCTGATTCTCATCCGCGTTCCATCTATGGCAGGTAACAAAAGGTCCCTGTTTGATGCAACGTGAATGCTTAACCCACTGTACCTCACCTACTATACAAGAACAGGAATTCCTTCTAGAACTAGACTTTCTTCCTTATTCTTCATCCAAGTTGCTTGACCCCAGTGAGCCTCGCAGGTTTCAAATTGGAGCCCATGTTTAAACAACATTACATGAAGCAGTTGTAGTGGTACTTCAAGACTAGGTACACTCGTTGTATTCAATTTTGTAGCAAAAATAAAGTTATCAGGCAGCACGGTTATTATGTTACGATATCTAATTTATACAACAAATAACTAACCCAGCTCAGGAATAGTAATAGACACTTCTTCGCTTGGAGGTCCAGTATATATACCCAGTATATCAGTTTTCGTACTGTCCAGAATATTAGTTTTCGCCATTACAGACACTTTGTGAATTCGTATTCGCCGATCAAGTATGCTTTCTCTTATTGACTGAAAAAACTACATTTTTTAAAGGCAAAAATGCGGTTCGGCTAACACAGTATGTACTTACGGCATGTGTTTGGTTTCCAGCTTCTTTAGTGATACTATCTTTACCGGACCTTATTCTGCAAATCCTTTTTATACACTCTATCATGAATATTAATTTTATCCATTCCTTTAAGCATTTCTTTGTGAGGCCTAATTTTTGCGCAGTGTTTAGTATTCACAATTGTAATGAACAAAATTTGCTCCTCCGTCAGTTCGTATTTACCACTACTCAATTATATTCATGTATTCCCGATAATAAAGAAGAAAATTAGTCTTTTAAATGGTTCGACGGTCTTTCTGGTATTGCTATATGTAGTTTTTTTCATGCACAGATTTGCGAGCGTTTTCGGCAGTAAAATAAGGTGTAACATTGAACGCGTTTCCTACTAATGCTGATAACTTCTTCAAATAATATTAATGGTTTATGCAGTCTTGCTAGCCAGTATATGTATTGGGTTATGCATGGCAGAGTTCTCAATGACATTGATTACCGGAATTGCTATTCAGGATAAATTGTGGCCCGCAATGGTAATAGCACAGGGAAGCCGGGTCAAAAAACGGTCTTGATAAGGCGTAGTAAGGACCGCAAAACCGGTTTAGCCCACGTACACCCCAAGGCGGACCTCAATTTTCACGGTCTGGTAGAGGGTGTAAAGGTTGCACCACTCGCACTGAGACGCACACGTTGCGCGCAGGAAGCTTACTTAGCCAGCTTTCTGTAGTGGCGCACGCATTTAGACAGTTCGTGCAACTAACCCTTCCCCTTAACACACTGATTTTCGCGCTATTTTCGATTTTTCCTCTATTATAAACAATCACGTACATTATTCGCCCTATACTATGTAGTTACCTCAAAATTATCGTAAACGGGCCTTCAAATCGCTTACCTAAGCATCTAAAAAACCTGTAAAGAGTTTTTTAGTGTGGAAAAGTGGAAACTGAGCTTTTTCCATTCATTTTAAACGTTTAACTGCCCAGAAACAAAAATGTATTAAATAATGGGTTGCGTAGTTCATAATCAGTGCCACTATTCCTTCACTTTTAAAGTTAGAAGATCAGAGCAAAAGAGTGAAAGCACTAATCTGAAAAATTGCAGTAACTGAGACAAATTAATTGCTATACACGTACAACAATCAGTGCTCCGGAAAAAGTTTTGAAAAATACTATGGTATCACTCTGTTGCTAATAAAAAGTTTCAAACATTTTGGTATATGAATCATTACACTGGGGTGTGATGCAGTAGGGTCGAAATTGTCGCGCGCGAGGATGCCACGCGCCAAGGAATGTAGCAGAATGCAGCAGCAAGTAAGACATACAGGAACAAAGGAACTAAAATTAGAATCATGCCAAAGTAATAGTCGCATATCGATTGAGCTGGATGAAGAGCGCTGGAACTGTAATAACGAGGCGTAATGGTTTGCGACAGCCGCGAGCGCGAATCGAGTACACAAAACCGATCCTACTGCCCACCCTCCACTACAATGCGTTCACTAATGATACGGCCACCCATGAATTTTACCAAAACTCACCTTCTAGGGCACTTCAGGANAAGGCTTCATGTGGAAATTGTGCCCTATTCAAAGTGTAATTTGTAGATCGACAACAATTTCCATCTCAATGACATGGATTGTTTTTCCTTCACTTTTTTTGCAAAAGGCCAATTTGCCTATGTTGCCAAATGATACATATTCCCTACATTCATATTTTCCCTTCGTGTTCTATTTACACCTTGCATAAATGCTACATTTAGGTGAAGTTTTTCAATTTAAAGTAATGGGTAGAGGAATGTTGGAATCAGGTTTTGAGTAAACTCAAATTCACGAAAAAAAGGTGCAGGGACTGCCAAATCGTGGTGTTGCTCGAGATTTGAGCCAATGCCACGCAGTTGTCAACAATTTCGTCAGGAGTCGTACAATATGAGGCCAAAAGGAGTACGGGACGTTTTTCTTCACCTTTGGAAAAGACAAGCGACAAATTTCGAGAGAAGCGTCGAATACGATGAAGTCGTATACGAATATCAAGTCCTCTTTGAAGCTCAGTGTCTTGAGCATTACTGTTTGGAATGTGATAAGTAAGTCTTTTATCGTTGAACGGAGAATGAGGAAGTCACTCTTTCTGACCGCGATATTCGGGTTTCTTTTGCCAGGAATTGCATACGAACTTATCGGGGTGAGGTGCCTTTCCACGGCTTGTCGTTTATTCTTCCTCCTCGTGACGATCAGTTCTACAGGTTGCTTTTCCCATAAAAAAAGTTGACCTATAATGGCGACCAGTTCTTCTAGCAAGATTTGGGAAAGGATTTGCTTTAGTTATCCGGACGAAATTTCTGGAAAGAAGTGTCATGGTGTGGGCGGCAATTCCTCCTCGTAAACTTCTTCATTTATGTTCCGAGTGAGCTCAGCTCTTCTGGTTATCGATTCGTGATACGCCATGCTTTTCTTTCTTTGTGGCGCCAGAATCGGCAGTGGAACCCTCATGCGCCGGATAATGCCACGATTCACTTTAGGCGGAGCCGTTTGGCCTGGTTTAGTCGGGCCAAGTTGACCTTTTGCCCTGGCTGGCTAACAGCCCTGACTTGAATCCAATGGGGAACGTATGGATACTCAGGATAAGGGAGATTTATGAAGAGAGTAAGCTTGTTTTAGGTGTCAGTCAGTAGTTAAAGAAAAAAATCGTCGACGCTTGGGGCACAAAAATCACCAGAAACTCATTGACAACCTTTACTTTAGCTTAGAAAATCGTATCTTGTGGTAATTTCAGGAATTGGGACCTCAATAAATTAGTAATCCTTTTACTCACGCAATCCTTTTACTATCATTTAAGTGCTGAAGGAACTGGTTTGGTTAGCGGCTGTGTCATTTGGCAACACATGCAGAGTGACCTTTTCCAAAAAAGTGAAGGGAAAACTGTACACGCTATTGATGTGGAACTCGTTATTGATCTACAAATTACGGTCCGAGTAGGGCGCAGTTTACAATCCCCATACTAATCCTTTCCCCTTAAGTGTCCTGAAACGTGAACGTGCGCATCTCCGGCTTCCATTTATATCAGGCA